AGAGATTTGCTAAGGGGGAGCTGTTCCAAGTACATCGGTCTGGGTATGGTGTCCTGTACTTTCAGCCTGAAGGACAGATTCTGATTTGAAAAAAATTAGGGGGACAAAATATCTTAACAAAAAAGGAAGTTGAGCTATTTTGGCATGCTGAGGCAATGCCAGAGAAGTGCCTCTCCCCATCTCCCCAGGATTTCCACAGCCGTTGGGCAGACTGGCCCAGAGCAGTGAGCAGCCCAGGGACACTCCGCTGGGGACGTGTACACATAGCTGAAACGGGCAGTGCTCTGGTGGTGTCATCTGCTGGCTCGAGGTGAAGGTGGGGAACGCTCATTCTCTCCTCCTCTTCAGGGAGGAAGCTGGGCTCAGGATGGTCTGGTAGCATCCCCAAAGAAATGCATGTTCAGTCTGAGCCGTGTCCTGCAAAAGTCACACTTCATGGCCACCAAACTACTGTGACAGTGCTGTGGGAAATGGGTAAGGATGGTTCTGCTGGTGTATGACAGAGGAGCCTGAAAAGTGGAAGAGAAACCAAGCGGAGCTCTGAGAATCCTGGCCTCTCGAAAGTAGAGTGTAATTCAGGAAATAAAGATGATTCAATTTTCTGTTGACTTTCACACTAAGGAACACATTCCATAGCTTTTGCATTATGTGCAATTATATGTAGAATTGCAAAGCAAATAAGATAATGTAAATATTAAAGGATTCAGTGTCTTAAACTCCATGAAATTATAAATCTAAGAGAAACTCTTTGGCTGGTAATGTGATGTGTCACACCCATGCTGTGAATGTTTACTGTCATCTCCCAGACCAAGCAATTCTATTTTATGCAGCACTGTCTGAAAGTGTTCCCTTCTTCACCGTGAGATGGAAACAACAAATGAGATCTAAACAGCCTTTCATCATTGAAATGTACCATGTAGTAGATTAATGGACAGTATCACGAAAGGGAGGAGATTTAATTCCAACAAATTCAGCAAATTTAAACATACAGGTGCCAAGGATTTTTTTTTTTTTTTCTTCCAAAGGTGTGTACAAATGCCATCAACCTCTTGGAGTTGTTCTGGCCGGAGACGGCCACACCGCTGTGGTTCCAGTTTTGGGAGTCAGTGTAACATCTGTGAAGGGTGGTCACTGCCAGATACTTTAATGAAACCAAATGGGACAGTTACCCAATAACTTTACATATCAGATGGACTTCAATTTACTAGTAGTTAATACCTCATGTAAAGTAAAAAATAATGGGAGGAGGAAACTCTTCTTGTAAAATGTAACTTGTGCTAGGAGCGTGCAGATCCTCAGGTTACTCAGCAAGGAATACCCCAGATGGTAAGTAAGGAGGGCACTGAGAGGAGGAGGTGGTTTGAGAATGAAGTCAGATTGGAAAGCTTGTTTTGTGGAAACAGTGGAGATCAGTGGAGGCAATGTCCCAGCTCCCTTCTTAGGGGCAATTTGCAGCTTTAATAGAACATTAATAAATTAAGATGGTGACTGCTAAGAAGGTGAGCTTGATCACAATCTGTGGAAATCAGATGTTGAAACACTAAGGCTGAGGAAAGGCAGACACATGACATGAGCAAAGTCTGTGAGAGTTAAAGCACCAGGTTTAGGGGACACGGGCAGGAAGGAGGGCATGTTCCTTGAGACTTGTAGGAGTGGGGGTCAGGAGTGCTGAGAACACTCCAGGCAGCTCATTGGAGGAAAGACTGGACACCAGCCTTAAAGTGCAAAATTTGGGAGCCTGAGGGATTCATTGCTCTGCAATTAGCTGTGAAGGAGGAAAGGACGTATGGAAGAGGCGATGAAGAATAACCTTTTCCCTGGGGTGAATTCCATTAGGGAGTCCCCAGCAGATACAACTGTGAGGAAACAAACTGTCCTTTCTGTAAGAATGGAATTATTCTCGAGGGGAAAACAACATCTACTAGAATAAGGAAAGTGTCTGTTGGGAAGGGGATAAAATCTCAGGCATGGTATAAGGCCAGAGTTCAGAGTGGCTCACAGCCAGCGTACTTCAGTTGCTCTTGCCCTTTTATAGATGCCCACTGGCTTTCTAACTGAAAAACAAGGTAGTACAGGTCCCTCCTACAGACACGACCTAAGTAACCTTTAGCAATGGGGAACTGTAGGGCCTGGACTCACCAGGCAACATGTCTTGGTATACGTTAAACTTGGTGTATGTTCCCTGTAGAAAAATGGTAGCTGAAATCTGCAGTAATCACTTGTCTTAAGGAGATTGGTCTTTAAAAAAAGGTAGAGATTTGGGTTTGCTACCCAGGTTTACTGTGCAGACTCTTTTGAACATGTTCCACATAGTCAATCAAACTGTGGAAGCTCCTTCTTTTGGGGGCAGAGCTAGAAATTTCTCAATTACATTGATTTAAAATTGCATATTTATACAGGTTCACAGGAAATATTTATCAGCCTCAGCAACGCTGCCAGCAGGCTCAATATACAAATTAAGGTAAAAATAATAAATTTTAAGGGCATCAAAGGGGGTCTCAAAGTTCAGTGCTTTGCTTTGCCTCTGATTTCCAGCAGG